AAGGTTAATATCCAGGAGGATAACTATATGTTTGTCTTTGGGTTCACCTTCTTATTTAGCTTCTCTAGGATCACGAATTATAGGCTCAATGTCCTTTATTTATGGCTAGAAACCAAATATGACTGGGTCTGAAAAAGCATGGGATAGAACCGGACTCGCTGAACATAGTGGACAATGAGGACTGCTGAGAAGTCAAGAACAATGGCACTGGGTTTTGATCCTACTGCACATACTGGCTTTGGGGGAGCCTAGACTGTTTGGATGTTCACCTTACTAGATCTGGAAGGAGGTGGAAGGTCCTTGGACTTCCCACAGGGCAGGGAACCCTGACTGCTCTTCAGGCTGATGAGAGAGGGGGAGTTGATTGGGGGAGGGGGAGGGATATGGGAGGCGGTGGTGGGGAAGAGACAGTAATCTTAAATAAATAAATAAATAAATAAATAAATAACAAATGAGGCTGACTCCCCCCAAAGGCCCCACTGTATGTTGACTCTATCAGGGGCTCTTCATATCATCTTTTCTACGTTGTACAGCTTCTCAGCCTTTCCCAGCCCTGCCCTGGCTGCAAGGAAACACTGCTTTAGGTGTCAGGCACAGGATTTGAGTGACAGCTTCATAGGAATTCACAGATGCAGCCACGACCCCCAGCTGTGCCTGTGAGGACAATCACTTAAGGAAACCAATGCATCTCAGTGGGCAGGACTTTCACTGACGGCCAGCTCTGCAGTGTTAGGTCAGATGCCTCCCCGGGTCTGCAGCCTGGGGAAGTGGCAAAGCCCGTTCAAGCCATGGCCTTTACGGTAAATGGTAGTAAGTAGAGCATCTCGTGAAGAGGGTGCTGCAGAAATTAAACAAAATATCGCACTCATAGGTTACACCGGGATGTTTTGATCAATAACAGATCACATGTGCAGTAACCGTCTCCTGAGATTATAACTGAGCTGGCAGACTTTCTTACTGCTTATACCATCATTATCATGATGGAGTTCAGTGTTTTGTTCGTATGATCATGGTGATGCTAATGTAAACAAGCCATGGCCAGAGGTGTGAAAGTGGAACATGAACATTGCCTACAGCACAAACTACTTGGTAGTAACAGCAAGCTGCTGTGTAAGTCTATGGATTCAGTGTGCCTTTTTACTGTGCTTTTAGAATACATTTCTATACTTAACTACAGTAACATGCCACTGAGCCCTAGGTTAGTGTAGTTCAGTACAAACAGCACGCCACGAAATGTCAGCGCCAGACTCACGTATCAATGCTAATAACATATCTGATTCATCAAGGGGTCATGTGAAATGACCAAGCCCTGTACCATTTAAAAAGAGTTTGTAATTTAGAGCAGCTACACGATGAAGAAATCACCTCACCTTGCAGTTCTTAGGGCTCATCTCATCCTTCGGAGACACCTGAGAAAGCCCTCAGGGCTATGCGCAGCTAACACACAGTCAATAGCTCACTGCTAACACTATTGATCAATCTATCCTCTAGCCCTGAGTTGCTGCAGACCCAGCTCTGTATGGCTGGGGCTTCTAGTTGCCACCTCAGGGAACCTCACCATCCAATGGAGGGAGACCACAGACAACCAAGCGTTAGGATATAACATTAATTTTAAAAGAACCAGCTCTAGTCAGTGACACCCGTTTGGTCTAGGTGTTGTATGTACATGTTTCATATAAGGCCAGGGTGTATGGCTTCTAGCCTAAATACCTGGATACAAATTCCAGCATGATTGCCAGACACTTGCGTAATCTTGGTCTCATTCATTGACTTTTTGGAAGCCGAGTTACCTCATCTTGAGAAGAGTTAGAGAATGCATACACAATACTGACACCCCTACTCCCTACTCCTGCTGCTCGGTTGACAAGTACTAGCGATAATTAGTATATATCTGTCAGGTGTACCTGAGGATTATCAGCAATCCGCCTTCATTAAGAACAAAATGAAGAAACTGAGGCTGAAAGAGAGAGATCTACCATCTAAGCAAAGGTTCTAAAGCTTCCTCCTTGAACAACAAGAGGCGTCAGGAGACGGGGTTCCAGGCACACAGCAGCCACCTTGTGAGCCCAGACACCAGCTTTGTCCATTGTCAGTCAGACAAGGGGAGAGGTCACAGCCTTGGAGGGAGAGGGGACTGCAAAGTCTGTAATGGGAAAGCTGCCTCGGAAGGATCAATGTAAGGAAGAGGAACGGAATCTGACCCCGACACATCTCTGTCCCCTGCTTAGACAGCCACACACAGGGCACACTTTCAAGACCAGCATGCAACAGCCTGTGCAAAGAGACTGAACAGATCTGCCGAATAAAAGCTAAGTTAGGAGTAAAGTGAGGAGCATACATACATACATGCACACACACACATGCATGCACACACACATGCATGCATACATGTATGCCTACTCCACAGGTCTTTCTGGGGGAGCCAGGGGCTATTCTGGAGACCAGAACCTGCCTGGCCTAGTCTCTGTCAGAGGACTATGGGATAAACAATAGGTACTTGAGGCAGAGCTTGGCATGGCAGGGCCTGATTACCTCTGCAGCAGGCTATGCAAATTAGACCGCAACAGCCCCACAGCTGAGCAGGTGAGAGAGGAACAAACCAAACAACACAGACTCAGACCTGTTTACAGGAACACATTCTTGTAGAGAGCCTGATAAGTCTGTTCCTAAGCCTGCCTTGCTTCCTGTCACCAAGCACCTGCTTCTCATGCAGGAAAGATAATCACTCTGGGAACGGGCTCTGCTCCGGAGACCTGGCAGAATGCTTGCAGTGTAGAGCCAAGTCCTCCTTTCAACAGGCCTTCCCCTTGTCCTGTTTGGGTTGAAGGGAAACCCTACCTGGCAGGGAAAGGCTCTGCCCTGTGGGTTGCCTGCAGCTGAAAGTGACCCGCAGAGAAAGGAAGATGCCCCCTGAATTCCAAGCTCAGGGCAGCTGCTGAACAAAGACCCCAAAGATTCTTGCTGGGACAACACTGAACATCAGGGGAGGAGGTCCCAAGAGCATGGCAGCTATCACCTGTCAGGTTGGGCAGTCACCTGCTTTGTTCCTGCTGAGTGAGGCAGGTGAAGGGAGAGAAGGCAGCCCTGAAGAGAGGGGGTAGAGCAAAGGGTGTGTTGCAGGGGTGCCTGCCACAGAGAGATTAGTACAAGAAGCAAGAGTTTGTAGTTGACTCGAAAGAAGAAGGTAAAAAAAATCTGGGTAATTCTAGCCAGGATGAAGAGACAGCTGGCCTCCCACTGTAATCAGAGAGGTTGATAAGGCTTGTTAAGAGCTGTTTTGGGGTGCGGAGAGATGGCTCAGTGCTGTGAGGGCTTACTGCTCTTCCATTGGACCCAAGTTTCATCACCAGCACCCATACTGGGAGAGCACAGATATCTGTAACACCAGCTCTCAGAGATCCAGTGATCTCTCTGGCAAAGGCTGATACCAATATACAGGTGGCAAACACCAATACAGGCGCATGAACAAAAAAAATCAAAATGAATATTTTTAAGCACATTTCAGAGCCCTGATGAAAACTTCAATGTGGATATATGTATACCCGCCCCCTCTCTAAAGGGGACTTAGTCCTTTCTTTCTCTCATCCTCTCTCCTTCCCTCTCTCCCTCCCTCCCTTCTCCCTTAACCCACAATGCCTGCCTTCTCAATTAAATAGGACCACCAGCGATTCCCAATCCACACTCAAATAGAAACACCAGGTTAGGCCCGAGGTTATCCTATCTGTGCACACTTTGAAATTCCAGACTTTGAAGGAGCCTAAGAGCTTCCTCCAGCCCCCAGAAGTTGTCCTCCACATAAACAAAGAGCCCGGCCTCTCATCCCTAAGGCTCTTCATGCAGAGCCTGAGGCAAGGTTCTGCAGAGGCAGGAGCTAAGAGCTTGCTTCAGAGTCCAGAACCATCCAGCTTTGAGAAGCAGCAGCCTTCAGCAGGGTCACTGCACTAGGGGAGCGCGCCCCACAGCCCTTGGCAGAGTCTCTCTGATGTGTTAAATCCCAGCCACTTGGAAGCAGGGGCTCTGGCCCTGGGCAGGTTGCCCTCTGGCTACCAGTTTGTCCAGAGCTCAGACTATCTTCGCTCTGGGAAGAGAAGACACTGATTTTTGTAAAACAAAGACTTAGACCCAGGAAAACAAAACAAAGCAAACAACAAAAGGCACAGGACTTAGCTTGAAGTCCAGTTACCCAGGCACCATCTTTTCTGCTGAGGAATAGGTTTAAAAAGGTCATTCATGACTAAACTTCATTATATACATATATGAAACCGTCAAACAACTTTTTAAGAATTCTCATTCATGAGATTAAATCCCTGGAGGAAGTCCATTGAGGTCAGAAATAACTTAGCGTTAGTCTGTGTCCCAAGCATATCCAGGGCAGCTTTCCCATTCATAGATTTACCCTCGGTGTCACGTAACACTAACCAGTGGTGATCCGTTCGGCAACAAATGAATCCATCACAAAACCACTATAACCATGAACCCCAAAGCGGGTGTTAGAGGGTTCCGTGAAATGACAATGGTGGGAGGAGGAGCGTATATCCCAGAGGCACACGCTACTCCATATTAACCCGACACTCTCTGTGCCCAGCACAGAGCTGAAACCTAAGAGTCTGATGATAACCAGCGGGTTAAAGGCTTGCTGAAAGTCACGGGATAGGTTGTCACAGGGCCTGGGTACAGACCCACTGACTGCTGATTACACAAAACACTCAGGGCTCCCAAAGGGACAGGCCATGAATGTCACACCAGCCAGGTTCTAATGAGTGCCGCCATCCTTCAGAAAGGCCTCACCCAGGCCCAAGAGATCTCCACAAACTTCTCTGCTCAAAAGTTCAACCAGGTCACGGCAACAAAACAGAACTCACAGCCTGATCAATACCCAAATACTTCAAACCAGCTCAGTTCATCTCCTTACTCTTACACAAAACAGAGAAGTCAGGAGGCTGGGGTCTGGCGACCAGATGTACGTGTTGATTCAGGCTGCATTCAGCATCAAAACTTACCTACTGCCCAAGGGTCCGAGAAATCGCTAGCCCTCTCTCAGGCTCAGATTGTCCATCTGCAAAACAAGAAGACAACCGCAATGAGCCTGGGTGTCCTCTGCACCCACAGGTGTCAAAGATTCGACCCTAACACTGCCTGTTCCTGGAACAGGATGTTTCAGATGCTCAGGGGTCACCAGGGAACTGTTCACAAAATGAAGTGTGAGCACAAGGAAACTTAAGCCGGACGATGGTTGTGTGTCAAGCACGACACGGGCAAGTACTTAGACTGCAGTGTGGGAAATGCAGCCTTCCAATCATTTTGGCACACACTTTTGGTTTTCATAGATGCCGACATACTATGCTAGGGACACCGTAAGAAAGCACACAGAGATAACTACCTCACACGCTCTCTTTTATCATGCGGGGTTATTTTTTTTATATTTATTTTTTAATTTTTTATCGATGTGTGTTTGTGTGGGTCAATTGTGTGTGCAAGGGGCCCCAGGAGGCCAGAAGCGGCCATCAGGTCCCTTGGAGTGGGAGTTACAGGTGGTTGTGAGACAACACAGGTGCTGAGCACTGAAGCCTGTGTCCTCGAGATGGGGACGAGCAGGACAATGGGATATGAAATCTCAGGGTCTCATCAGACTCCTTTTCTTGTCCCCAGTGTTAGACCAGCGCTGCTGCCTGTCTTCTATGTCGCATTCTCTACTCCCTTCCTCCAAGCACTTTGCAGGCTTGTCCTCTGGCATCTGGCAGCAGCACCGTCTACGCTGGGTCCAGAGGAGTTCAGGGTGGGCGAGTGTGGCCGCTGGACTCACCCAGCCTTCAGCTGGCTCCCCTCTGAGAAGGAAGGGAGGCAGGCCAGCCCGCCACCCGCAGACACTGCTTTGAAGTAAGAAACAAGAGGCCAAGGGAAAGGAAAGGAAACCGTCCATCTGTGCCCTTACCCTGTGACAGCTGCCGAGCTGATACTGTCTCCAGATATTATCTCGTGATCCTCGGGAACCACAATGGGAATTTTCACGACCAAGAAGACTAGTTCAGGCTGGCTGGCAATCCCTCCCAAACCTGCTCAGTCACTGGGGCTCGCCATCACGTGGTTTTCCATATCTGTGTGCCATTTATACCGTAGCGTACAAGTTTTCTAGATCAAGTCACTTGGTTTTGCTTTACATAATGTTTAGATTTTTGCTGTTATTGTTGCTTTACCTTTAGGTATTTATTTTGTGTGGGGGGGATGGGGCATGGCACACCGCACAGGTGGAAGTCAGAGGGCAACTTGTGGGTATCGGTTCTCTCCTTCCACCGCGTAGCTTCGGGAACTAAACTCAAGACAGTGAGCTTGGTGGCAGGTGACTTTCCCTACTGAGGCATCTCCCTGACCCTTAACTTCACCTGAAAAGGATTTATCAAAGAAGTTCCTGCCCTTCTTTGTTTCTTGCCCTTCTCTCCATCGTCCAATAAAAAGCAACCTTGCAACACAGGTGGAGTCTGTAGCTGCCAAAGGGTTGCTAACAAGGGAAAAGAGTCCACCATAGTAGCTGTGCTGCACACAAAAGTCTGCGGCTGCCTGTGGAACACATCTCATTAGAATCTGTAACCTTTGAAGGCTAAAATGCTCGCCCGTCTACCACTCAGGGGATGCTTGCATTTGGTCCGGGGTTATTCTGCAGCCTCAGAACTTAGAGCGATCACATTTTAAAGCTAAAATCACAAAAGCACTTTCCACTGTGGAATGTCGTAGAGGTTCCCAAGGTCACGTAGCTAGCTACGGAAGGAAGCAGGACTTGCCCTCTCTAACCCGGTGAACTGCTCTGTGAATACACCCACTCCCCCTCCTGCAACCTGTTCTCTGAGCTCCCAATCTATAACTCCTTGGCATTTGGCCGCTAATTAAGTTCTATTTCCGAATCAAGGCAGGTTCAGCCCATTCTGCAACATCATCAGCGCTTCCATAACGTGACGAGATCCTATCAAGGGCTATTTAAGTTCCCAAAAAAGGGCACTTTAGGAAGAAGCATCCAGGCTTCAAAACATGTGACTGAAAGCGATTCTTTATTTAAAGATCTAAGATAGTAGCCAAGGGAATAGAAAGGGCCTGGCACATAATACCTAGGCCTCCGCTGTCTCTGGTAAGGAGGACGAAACCCCAGTCACCAAGGGGTTGTGCCGGACTCTGGCTGACGAGGCTGGGGAGTAGGATTGTTAGAACTCTAAGTCCCCACCTCCTGCCATCGTCTTAAAATTCATTGGCGTGAAGTTTTTATGAGAAGAGAGGAAATAGGTGAAAAGGCCGGAAGAAGCTGCTTCGCCTGCTTTGGTGCGAGTCCTCATTCCCTCAACAAAGACTGGGCAGAAGCAGCAACAGAACAAAGCCCTGAATAGCCTCTCCCAGTCCAAGAACCCTTCTCTCTGGAATCCTCGCTCCCCAATTCACATTAGAATTAGTTAATTATTGTTGCAACCATAATTCACATTCCCCTTTAAAGTCATTTTTATTTACAAGAATGCACTAAATATTTTTAAAAGTTACTACCACCTGGCAGCATCAGTTAAGATCCAGGCCCCTGTAAGCCTGTATGAAGGAATACTGAGAAACAGATGTTGACATAGTATGTGTTCATGTTTACAAAGTAGGGCCACACCATGTACACTGACTTTAATGCCTTTTGAGCTTGTTTTTTGTTTTTGTTTTTGGAGACAGAGTTTTTCTGTGTAAGAGTCCTGGCTGTCCTGGAGCTTGCTTTGTAGACCAGGCTGACCTCAAACTCACTGAGATCAGCCTGCCTCTGCCTCCCAAGTGCTGGGATTAAAGGTGTGTGCCACCACCACCCAGCGACTTTAATGTCTTTTTAACTTAGTAAAAAAACATACTCTAAAATGGCTACATGGATAGGTAATTAATCCCCCACTGATGGAGGTATACACTTTCCAAATTTTTTGCTAATTAATATTTCATCCATTTTTCTCATGTGGCAGTTTGATTATGTATTTTTAAAGCTACGCTGCTGAGCAGTTTTAAGAAATGTGCAAATGCCCCCCACAAAAGAGTGTATCACTCTAATCTCTACCGGCAGCCCACGCGCGCACCAGCCTCCCTTGCTCTTGTCAATATTAAACATTAGGATCCTGGTTTACTCTTGTCAGTGTGGTAGGTGCATGGCAGCCTGGTATTTTAATCTGCATACCTTCAATGTAAGCATGTTTTTCTACATGTCCTAGCTTTGTTGGGGAGTTAACATGCTTGCTGCCCTTTACCCATTTCTGAGTATGTGCTGGACTCTCTGAGTTGGTACAGAAGGATTTGCCATTTGTCTGTTTCTTTATTATTACTGCTGCAGCGGCTGCTGTAGTAAGCTTGCTTCCAGCATGTTCAATCACACCCCCAGCTCCTAATTGCTTCTGCCCGAGTCCTGGATAGCTGTTCTGACACATCCCTCATGTCACACTGGCCCTGGCCAATTATTCGCCAGACCCTATCAATTCTACCTTCAAATATACCTGAAATCTGTCCATTTTTTCTCCCTCCACAAGAGCTGAGGGGGCTGTGGGCCTCTCTCCCTGTGTTAGCATGGAGAGCATGTTAACACCCCAACAGAGTTAATTGCTGCGACATGCAGGAAACAATGTTGATGATGAAGATATGCAGATTAAAATAGCAAGGCACCATGCACCTACCACGCCAACAGAGATAAACCAGGATCCTAAGTTCCACAGTCTCACCAAGCAACCAACGCCTCTCACAGGGATTTCTGCGGGACCCTCCTGCCCACCCTGCACATCCTCTACTATAACCCTCTCCCCACAAGCCTGAGGGTTTTTTTTTTTAATAAATGAATAGCCCCCAAAACTCCCTACTCTCTTGAAATGAAAACCTGAAGTCTGTGAGGAGTACTTGAGCCTTGAGACTGTTTTGAGAAGTTGGGGGCAGCACTGCAGGGTATCCTGACTCTCTAGCCATGTCCCAAGCCACCATACCTGCTTCCTCCAGATTTTAATGATGACAGAAAGGAAATGAGGGACAAACCGGGTTTGTATCAAAGGCCAAGAAAGGACTATTACATTTTTTTCCCCCCGCACACAAAATTCAAGCCGTGGCCTTGGCAGCAAGAGCCCTAGAAGTGGGGATGCCTGGGAGGCTAGATCCACATCACATGACACGCTCCTCCACAGCTCTGGTGGCTCTCCACCCTCCGTGCCCACATTCAATAAATGTCTCTTCAATGGATTCAATTTTAAGTCAAATTATGGAGTAATTACATCAAATTTACCCTCTTCTCTCCCATATTCAAAAATAAATTTGCATGACTGGAATTATTGACTTGATGAATTTGTCTTTGTATAGAGTGAGACATATATTTATAGATATTTCCTCCCCGGTTATTTTTCTGAGTTAAGTGGGGGGAAGCCGATAAAGGGAAGAGAGGCTCTGCTCTCCTCTGGCTGTGTTTCAGCATCTTGACTCTGCTCCCCGAATCCACCTTGTCCTCAGTACAGCATCCAGCCACTGAATTTACTGAAACTCTGTTTACTCTACATCCACGCCCCTACAGGATCCCAGAGAGGGGCATAACAAGTCTGGTGTGGTATGAGTTGCTAATTTGACAGGATTGAGAATTAACCTGGACTATGAACCTCTAAGCACCAGGCGGTTAAGACCCATCATAATTGAGAGTGAGATATTCCCTGGGCGGGGGCTTCTAGACCGGATCGAAGGAGAAAGTGAATCAAGTTTCAGCTTGTATTCATTGCTCTCTGTTTCAGACGGTGGGTGTGATGTGGCTGCCTCAACATCCCTGCCATGGCAGAGGGGACCTTGAGCAGCTGAAATGAACCCCTTTTCCCTTGTTGCTTTTGATCACAGCAGCAAAGGAAGAAGTGATGTCTGGTGCAGCGCCATTGCTTCAGGTGCATGGAGAAGCTTCTCGAGCTAACCCACCCCAGTTGCCAGGGACCTGTTGATAATATCCTTTATAACCCTGGGACCACTGGCATATGGAAGTGGAAGGTCAGTAAATCAGGATGCTCTGGACCCTGAAGGAGGAGGCACCAATAAAAACCAGTTTCTCTG